GTTGTCTTTCTAATTGGTTAGTGCCTGGTAAGTCGCTGATGGCACCACATAACCTAATTTCATGTGGACGTTGTTCTACAAGCAAGGAAATATCTAATTAAAAGCGTTCAATGTATGGTAAAGGTGAAAAAATTAAAAGCTAAAGCTTGTTTTTGTTGTTGTAATGTAGTAACAATATTTGTAAAATTTCAAAAACTTAAAAAAAAAAAAAAAAAAACTTTTGTAGCGCCATTACGACCCTGCAGTTGATACTTTACTATGACTTTAACAGCTGGCTTTGTTTACCTTATTTTATAACTTGTATTTGCTCCTCAAAATTTATAATTTGTAATGCTCTTCTTTAATTTTGCAAAAAAGGAACAAAAATAACATATTGTTTTAAATTATGAATTTTAACGCAAACACAACCAGAATTCTGACTATGAACACAACTAAATGCTACTAGAAATATAGCAGGCCCAGCAGAGTTTGGATGATCTTGCATACATATACTATATGTGTTTGTATGAGTGCAATAGCAGCTTTTAAATTGAAAATAATAACGCCATGCATTCACAGCCATTGCAGTCTTTACGCAACGCAATCCTTCTTCTTTGTCTGCGTAGGTACTTATTTTTAAGTACACAGCATTTAAGAATAATGCGTTCAAAAATAAGAAATGTTAACTGCTCTTGGGTGTTTTTGGAGACAACCAACCATATATGGCACACGTTCCAACTTGTTTGCTTTACGAATGTCACTGAAATGACGCTGAAAGTTCAAAGCTGTGTGGGCAGTGCAAACGCGATTGCAATGAAGCTGTTTGTACGCGTACGTAGTTGCACAAATGATGCTGGACTTTTGTACTTTATTATGAATTTTTTTGCTATAAAAAGTGGAATTCATACAGCAACATCAGACTTGTGTGCCCTTTTATGGATAAATACCCTTTTTTGCCTTTTTTCTCGAGTGACTACTTGTTTTTCGGATGCTTTCTAAATGGAGAAGAATGAGGAAGAAAGATGTAATGTATTAAACATAAGCACATTTAGATCTTAATACTTATTTGTGTGCAGAATTAAAATGGGTTAACCATGCGGTAATTTTATAATAGCGCTTTGGCCTTCATCTTCTTCGATTTCTAAATTTTTAGCAAGACAGAGTTACATATGTATATGTATATACACTGAACATTGTTTTAAAAAGCGAAAATAGTTTGAATTGGAAAACTTGAAAATATTTAACTTCACTGTCAACAATTTCAATAAATTTAGCATAAATTTGTGAACATAAAAAATGTATTTTCTTATTTTTATGCATTTCCTTATCAACCTTTCAACTTCGTTACACGCTTACTCTTACTAAAATCCAGAAAAACGCAGCTTCTAAGATAAAAATGTACAACATTTTACGTCACTGAACTGAATGAGCATATAAAACCGGCGCACGACCGACAAATATACGTACATATGTATGCACCGCTAGGAAGTTGGAGAGCTACGAGTTGTGTGGTGTGAGGTTATGTGAAGTCCTCCCACAAAAGCTGATAGACGCTCGAGCAAGCACGTAAAGCTTACAAAAGCTGTTTCATGTTTTACTACCTGTAATAGTGTCGTCGGTGTGGCAAAGTAATGCTAGCCGATGCTTTATAGCTTGCAGCATATGTAAGTACGTATATATGTATGTACTTGCAGACTAATATGTACTTACTAATTCAGCCTCATTCCATCAATAATGGAGGTTCGTTAAAGTTTATCCGAGGGAATGTTTCGCATAAAATTAAACATAAAAATGTCACATGTTTTATATGCGTATAATGTTACGTCTCCGTCCATAAAATTCATTCATAATACATCTAATGAAAAAGACTCCACAACTACAACTACTGTTCAATTTACGGTGAGAATACTTACTTTTATTTGTCTGCTACTGCGGTTAAAACATAACCTCAATATGGCACAACAAGTTGTTTTCACGAGTTCTTGTTCTCCTTGCAGTACTGCTTTGCTATTATAGTGGATGTGATGCGATAATAGCAATAATAACTTTCGGTTGATATGTGGTACCACCGCTGCCGGAGGAAATACAAATTTTGATGTTCCACATTGCGCTGAAGGTGTAAGCATATTTTGTTGTGGGTTAAATATTATGGAATAAGGCATTGGTTCATTAGGCTGAAACCAAGTCCTTCCATTATCCTTCTTCTCAAATGAAATCTGGAAATCTGCTAGCGGAAGTCTTTGGACGTCAATCGGATGCAGCGTGTTTTGTGTCAAATTGTTTTAACTTCTATATCTTTAAGAACATAGTTCAAATTGTAATATTCCGTCTTATGGTATACAAAATTAAATCTAAATATTATGATTAATTGCAACTAATTATTTCAATCAATTCAAACACATAAACTTGTTGGAACTGTAGTAACGTTCTAAACTATATTATCGACAGTAAATGTCTGTGTTCCTTTATAAACAATAATGAAAGACGTCAACATCCGGCTTTATAGCGGATTTTATTTTCAAGACAAAACTCATACTCACAAACGCAATTAAATAATAAAAGCATTTCCGAATTTAATATATAAATTTCTTTAAAATAGATCAGCCATAAACAATTTCTAGTGTTTTTTCTTTAATTTTACGCTTTTGCCTTTCACACAGTGGCAGCACTGCACAGCTGTCAACTACAAATTACGGAGAAGAGATACGAGTACGTGGAACTTTCACAGCTGAACTAGTCGTTGAGAGAAAAACTAAATAAATGTAGTGAATTATTAATTAAATAGTAATATAATCAATAAATAGCGTGGATTGAAAGGTTCGTTAAACTCATACATGACTTCTATGCTGTTAAAACCAAGTATTTCCATGAAAGAATCTCGTTTTGAAGTTTGAGTAAGATTCGCAATCAAGGTAGGCCGACAAAATTTATACTAAAACAAGGCGAGATAAAGTAACAACAACTACAATAATAAATACAAAAGAGTGCTCCAAACAAGGAAATAGTGGCCATCAACAGCTGGAGCAAAGTGCAGGAAACCAAACTTGTAAACGTTAATTCCAGACAATATACTCGAACAATAAAAACCAATAACCACTAAATAAAAATGGCACCAACACGTCGACCTAGCGATGGCTTACTGGCACGAGTAAATTTTCCGCTGTATGCAGTTGAAATGCTAACGAGTCGACACGTACTTGTGGCAGGAGGTGGTGGCTCAGCTAAAACAGGTGTAGCAAATGGCTTTGTAAGTACTATATTTTGAAATTTAAAAACTGAAATTAAAGGATAAATTTATTTTGTAGGAAATCTACGAAATCTATCACAACGGCACACACTTCTGCGCGGAGGAGGTTGTGCGACATGAAACAGGCGCCAATGTTGTTATGAACTTTGCTGTGCGTAACGATGGGCGACGTTCATACCTGTGCGCCGGACAAGAATCACACTGTCAATTATATTTTGTAAATCCACATATAGTTTATGAGGGCCAAGAGGAAGCAACAACAGATCCTGAGGAAAGGCGACCAAGAAGTAACAGTACAGCGGAACATGGAAATGAAAATGGTGTGCGTAGACGTGTAGCACAGGCATCTGGCGTGCAAGATCTACCGAATGGACATGCTACGGGTGCCAGCAAGAAGGCTGGCGATCAGAATGCCAACTTGAAACGTATACGTTTCGATATTAAAGCAGGTGATTCTGTGCAAACAGATTTTCTAACATCTGAACCGCTGCAGCGGGTAGTACGCATTAGTCCGAATGGCCGTTTAATGGCAACTGGTGGCACAGATGGTCACTTGCGTGTTTGGACATTTCCACAAATGGTGCAACGCAGCGACTTAGCGTAAATAATGTGCGCTCTGATAGTTGCAATATTTAATGTATAATTTCCGTTAATTAGGTCACACAACAAAGAAATTGATGATATTGATTTTAGTCCGGACTCCAAGTATGTTGTAACTATATCGAAGGATGGTCAGGGTTTAGTGTGGGACTTGGCGACCATGAAGCAACATCACCAACTGAAATGGACTACACCCGAGGGCGCCAAGTACCTATATAAACGCTGTCGATACGGTACCATTGAGGCGCAACGTGATAAATATCGACTCTTCACAATTACCAACCCACTGGGTAAGGTGGGTAAGCAGCGTGGTTTTCTACAGCAATGGGATTGCATTAGTGGGCAGCTAAAGAGTGCTGTGCAAGTTGACGAAAGCTTAGCGTCGTTGGCTGTGCGTGACGATGGTCGCTTTGTGGCGGTGGGCACTATGTTTTCGGGTAGTGTTTCCATTTATATTGCCTTCAGTTTACAGGTATTTTATTATATAATTTATTGAAACATAATTTATAATTTTTTGAAACTTTTTCTAATTTATAGCGTGTTCTGCACATACCGAATGCGCATTCGATGTTCGTGACTGGTTTACAATTCTTACCGATTACAAACGAAGAAGGACCGCCAATTTCAAGCGATACCGAGGCGGCGGTTCTTTCAATTTCCGTCGACAATAAAGTATGCATTCACAGTTTGCAGCAGCGACGTAAGTGCTCATTGAATTTTGTATTAATATTTTAATGAGTTTTTTTTATTTCGCTTTAGGCACCATACCCGCTTGGTTAGCAATATTACTCATTATTGTCGTGCTGTTCGGCGCCTTTGCATTGTGCTCATATGTAGGCATTTAAACATATACGAATGTGTGGTATTTATTTAAGTGAAATAAACATAGAATAACATGGAAGTGAATAATTCGTTAACTAAAAACAATAAGTCGGCAAATCGTTACTAAATAATAAGTGCTTACAGTCCAAAATAAGCAACAGCAAATAAAACTCAAAAGCGTATACGAGTATTTTTGTTTTGTTAAAATCTCGTTTAAATTAAGTTGTATTTTTTTGTACAGTTATTTGTATTCCATTGCACATAACAAAACTTAAGTGTATACGTATTCATATTTAATTAAGTTCAAGTGCTTTCACTAGTTAGCCTTATCAAAAACAACAAATAAACAGTAAACGGTGTAACAGTTCGTTTAATTATAGTTATCATGGCTAAAATTAGTACATTTCATTGTCATTCGTCAATAGTATTGCACCGTCTGATACCTCTATTATGGTTTTCAACTCTATTCTGTTCAATTGAAGTTGAATTTTCAGTCAAATCTTCTTTGATGCTGTCAACATAAAAAATAAAAATTAGACAGATAGTAAACAGCCGAAATTTTTTAAACAAAAAATTAAAATAATTAAATTTTTTGAGTGTTTTAGGTTAAATACCATTTTTTATTTGCTGTGCTTTACCATTCTTTTCGAAAAAAGCAAGCAATTTATGCTTCTAAATCACAACATTAATTAAAAATAATTATTAAATATTTTGACGCTTTCACATTTCCTGTAACGACCCACTAAAACATTTCCCCCCCTAAATTTGTTATCTTAATCTGTTGCGACAGCTTGTTTTAAAGGTACCGCTAAGCTTTTCTTCAACGCGCACTGTTCGGCCCACTCCTTAGCGTGTTTCTTCCTTCGATGAGAATACATATTGGCATTAGATTTGAAGGTTTGTGGACAAAAACTACAGGTATATAAATCTTCTCCGGTATGGGTGGCCATGTGCTCCTGCAATGTGGAAAATAATAAAATTAACTATTTGATCTATAAAATATATGCACAAACTTATATCTCACTTTAAAATCGGTAAGTCGTTTGAAGGCTTTGTCGCATAATTTGCATACATGCTTCCTTTGCAAGGAATGCATATACCATATGTGGTTACGATGAGCCTGCAGAGACGGTGACACTTTAGAACACATTGGGCAGACTTGTGGCGTTTGATACTCTTCCGTATGCCTTGTTTTCATATGACGTACCAAGCCATGTTTTGTTGTGAGCGTAGTATCACATAGATCACACTTGAGTAGTTTTCGGGACACACCAGCATGCTCAGCCTGATGCCGTTCTAGAGCATCACGCCCCTTCATCGATACACCACAAATGTCACATATTTTTGCATAAGCATTCAAATGCGTTATACGCATGTGTTTTCCTAATTCAACGTCGTCTGGGAAACTGAAAGAAATATAATTTTGAAATGATTGCATCGAAGTACATACATATATAGGTATACTTATACCCAGAACCTTATACCCTATATTAATTTTGCCACAAGTTTGTAATACCCAGAAGGAGACGTCCGAGACCCTCAGCATGACGAGCTAAGCCGATTTAGCTATGTCCGTCTATCCACCCGTCTTTCTGTATATACTATAGTATAAGCAGACCCTCTGTTTTTGAGATACTGAAAATTTTCACATGTCCTTTTCTTCCTAAGAAGTCGCCGATAGCGGCTTATTTTAGCTATAGCTATAACTTACAAGCTGAACGGTCAAAATCATGTCTTGTATAGAAAACCTTTTTATTTGACGAGATATCTTCACAAAATCCGGCTTGAATTATTGTTTAAGGCAGTGGTACAATCTCTGAAGCATATATACATATAGCATATAGCTTCCATACAACCTGATCTATCAAAATCCAGGCCAGTATGAAAAACTTTTTTCTTTGATAAGATATCTTCACGAAATTAAGCATTGATTATTTTCCAAGGCAAGGGTAGGAGCCATACAAAATGACCGACTCGTCAACTCGGCAGAATTCTGCCGCTACAACAACAACAACCGATCGCTTCCACGACAGTCGGGTCTACGTAACCGGAACGGACACGGATTTTTATCCGCCCAAGGACTGTCTACCCGCCAGCATTTCTCCAGGAATATTTTCTGCCGCACAACAACAACATGCAATCAAAATCAGGATCTTGTATGCAATCTATTTTATTTGTGAAGGGTATTATAGCTTCGGGGCAAACGAATTAACGTTTTTTTCTTGTTTGAAATATCTATAGCACTTACGTTTTACCACATTCTAAGCACAGTACTGTTTTTTGATCTTCTGTAACGTGAATATTATAATGCTGTTTCAAACAAGATGCACGGAAGAATCCCTTGGAACAAATTGAACAACGATGTACACGTTCCCGATTGCCATGCGCATACTGAAGATGAAGATCGATGCTACGTCGCTCCTTCATTCGCTTACCGCAATGCTTGCATTTGAAATAGTCAGGATCTTCATGAAAATTAATATGATCAATTAATAAACCGCGTTGACGTAATTTTTTACCACAACATAGCACATAACCACTTGTTTGATGCGATCCACGGAAATGGCTTTTCAAATGTGTGAAGTTTTCCAATGAAATTTGGCATATGCAACAAGTAAATTTAAAATTTTTCTTTGCAATATATTCATCTAATTCCTCCGTTTTTTTATTAACGCTTTTTCTTTTATTTATTTTATGAGACTTTCTTTTTGAGCGTTTATCTTCTTCATTTCCACTCTTTAATTCTTCTGAGTCTGAACTATAATCGTATGATGATATAGAATTCTCAATGCATTCTTCGAGTAAAGTCTCATCCGTAACATCTAATGCTTTAGAAACAATCTCTGATGAATTACCTACATCGTTGAGACTATTTGACGCTGGTAACATACTTTCTTCAACTTTAGTTTCATATTCCGTAAGTCGTTCCACGTGTGTGTCGTCATTAGATATGATTTCTTCTTTAATTTCTAAGCTATCCGTTTCAAAAGTTACGCTTTTCAAAGAGTACACTGCATCCTTGTGCACTTGCTTCACATTTTTATAAAATTTATGAAATGTTTCGACTAAGTTCCAACACTTTAGACAAATGATTTTCATTTTGAATTGAGACATCATATCCAGCTGAATAAAATAATTAAAATTTATATAAAAATGGGTAGATCCATACAAATTACGCACCTCCTCCTTAAAATGCAATTCAATTACTTCTCGTCCATGCAAATCGATACCTTCTTTGGAGTCCAAATCTATTTGATCCTTTGAACTTTCTAAGCATAGTAAACAACATGTCTCATTAAACATTTTAATATCTTACTACAATAAAAATTATCTTTAACAATGGCTATTAAATATAAATAAAACCAGGGATAAATATCTGAAAACAATCCAGCAATCAGTTATAAAGGGTTGCCAACCTGTTTCAAATGTGAGAACGTCTCAAAATTATGGCCCAGTCACATTCAACTTTCCTCGCTTTGCTTGACGTTTCATATTTTATATTACTTTTATATAATTAACGTTCTGTGGATTTCCTTTCCATGCTAATCTATATATATATATAAAAGAAAGTCGTGTTAGTTACTCCACTTATAACTCAAGAACGGCTGAACCGATTTAGTTGAAAATTGGCAGGGAGGTAGTTTAGAGCCAGGAGAAGGACATAGGATACTTTTTATTTTTTTATGTTAAAAGTCAATACAATTCATAAATAAAAAAAATTATATTTCAAATCATAATCATGTGTTCAAAATTCATATTAGAATCATTTGAATATTTTATTACTTCAAAAAAGAAAAAATAATAATAATATTAATATTGAAGTGAAGTTTAATTAATAATGCCGCGACCAAGATGATCGAATCTTTCCCGACAAAGCCGTGATGCAAGAAGAATACGAAATACTGAAAATGAAAGGACTGAAGAAGAACAAGAAATTGCACGTGAACAGCGCCGCGATAGTATGGCTCGAATTCGTGCTTCTCAATCACGAGAGCAAAGTGAAGCAGCCCGTGTAACAGCTCGGTTGGCAATGCAGAATCGTCGAGCGAACAACAGAGGTCAACAAATAGATAATTTGCGACGCAGAACAAGATATTTATGTGCTGATTTGAATCGAGCAGCGTTTCAATACGATTGCAGCAATGATTACAGCTTGCATCCTAGCGTTTGCATTGGGCAAATGGACGTAGTTTGCGAGTATTGTGGTGCATTAAAGTTTTCCGGAGAAACGCCTGGATTATGCTGCCTTAATGGTAAAGTGAAATTGTCATTCTTGACTCCGCCACCTGAGCCATTGTATTCATTGCTTTGTGGCGAAACACAAGAATCACGCCACTTTCTTGCAAATACTCAAAAATACAATGGTTGTTTCCAGATGACGTCATTTGGGGCAGATATTATCGAAGAACGAGGGTTTAATCCGACATTTAAGGTATTTATTTTTGTACTTATATAGAATGTAGTTAAAGAATAACTTACTTTATCTATTGGTACCTATGTAGTATATTTGCTAATTCTGAACTCTACTCTCCCATAGAAAAAAGTATTTATAACCCAGTTAATACTGTCTGGTTTTTATTTTGTAGATACAAGGACAGATTCATCATCGAATTGGATCAATTCATTGGAAAAGATAAAATAATCTTCTACACCATCTTGGTTGTGAAATTTAACGCTTGTCGGAAATTCATTCGGAGAGTCACGTCACGGAAAAGTAAAAAAGATCTAATCACCATTATTAGTATCAATTAGTATGTTGATTTAATATATAAAATACATTTAAAAATATTTGCAATTTATTGAATAACACATAAAATTATTGTCCACAATATCAGATAATTTTGTAACGTCTAATAATTTATCGTTGGTTAACATCTCTAATTTACTTGTTTTTAACAGAAGCCTGCTTCAATTTTTAGACTCCCATTTCATATATGTATAGTACCTCAAAAGCTATAAAATTGAATACATCGCTTATTTCTTGCACTTTCACATGAAAGCCTTTTAAGCTCAAGCAAACTTTCAAAAAAAATTCGAGATAGAGCTTTGAGTTAAAAAGCCTTAAACAAATTTGCAGCTAGCACACAAAAATTTTTCAAAGCTATTTTGAAAAGGAAAAATCCATTGGGTGTAAGCTACCTATTAGCGCTTATCATAACGCAATCGCTTACTAGTTGCATTTTCACATGCAAACTTTTAAGGTTTCGAATTTGTAGGTTTTCACTAGACCTTTAAGACACAAAGTTAAAAACATTGGTTCACATTTACGGTCACTGACGTTTTTGTGGGAATGATCCCTTGGTTTACATTTTATGAGGTCAATGCACATTTTGTTTACATATAGTCAAGGCCACAACCTTGTCAACCATCCATATTTAAGAAAAAAAATTCGCAAAAAAAGTCTTTTTTATACCATGAAACCTTAACCCCGCATAAAATGACAAAAGATAGTGTTTTTATTCTTTGTAGTTATGTTGTAAAAACAATAAAGTACAAAAAATTTTGATTGTATATTTTTTGAAAATAAGTACAAACAATCCAAATCTCCGTAATCATTAGTGCTTGATAGAATGTTATATGCTTCTTGCGGATTGTGGCAGGAGTTTAAATAGGTTGAATCGCGAATTAATTTCTCAAGTCACAAGTCTCCATTTAAAGTTGCAAAACACTTATGAGCGAGTGGAATAGACAATTACCATCGCCAGGAATATCTGTGTCCTGTGTAGAATAACTTTGGGAGTAATGCATTGATTACGCTGGTCATAAATTTGAAGTGGTTGCTGTGAAATTCATTTTCTTGTAGCGTTACTTTTTCTATATTTTCAACAGCACTACATTGCACGACATTATTTTCATTACTGTCCAATTTTTCTCTTTTCCTGTGAAATAATATTGAGGCATATATTACAATTTGTTTTTAAATATTATTATTAAATCAAATTACATATCGACGTAAGATTTTTTCTGCCTTACGTTGACGAAATTGTCTTTGACGTTCAGCATTTGATTTTGGTACTGTTTCCTTTTTTATTTTTATTTTTTTTTTTTCATTTTTCTTCAATTCTTTCTGACGGTGGTAATATGCCCTTTGGCGTTCACGATTTCTTCTTCTTCTTAGCTCTTTAAGTTGTTCTTCTCTAAAAAACGAAAATAACTAAGTATAAATAATAGGTATAAATAATTAGGCATAAATAGTGTAATTACACCAAAACAATTCCGTAAGGTGGGGCTACTTGAATTTCGCGGGGTTTTTCAGGACGCCAAAAATTATAAACTTCAACGTCACCTATTGTCGGTCACACTAATAGTAGAAAAGAAAATCATAAATCTGATAACAGTACATCTAATGTCGAATCACAATGCGCGACATAAGTATATGAGGTTATTTCGTACTGGCTGAAGAAGCTTTTATCAACTAATTCGCTTTTTAAACAGGAAACATTCTAGGTAAGATTCTTGTTTAAATCATGCCAAATAGTCCCACTTTACGGTTATTCATTCAAAAAATTGCATAGCTTCTATCGCTGGCTTTGAGCGCGGCGACCGAATTAAGATGATCCGTAACGGAAACGATCTAACACGATCACAAAGTGTTTATGCGTATTTTCGCATATCTCAAGCGAAACAAATCAATTGAGAAGGCAGAGCAGGGTAATTCAAAAATAATAACATTTAGTATACAATTTTTTTAATGCAAATAAACATATGGAATTTAATAAAAAATTTTATTAATAAAAAATAAATTGTACAATCTTCAGAGTCATAATATTAGTAAAATTATTATTATTTTGGTAAATAGGTACCCCACCTTTTGGAACAATATCTCGTTTGAATTGAACAATACAATTGAAATTAGGTATTTCAATTTGATTATCAATGGTAATGAATTTCCACTTATATTGGTTGGCGATTTTAACATCCACTTCGCTGATAAAAAATCAGAGCGGTTGACAACTTTTCTTTCGGAAAAATTAAATTCTATAAAGAAATATGGGACCACCATTTACGCGGTATTTTTCAGATCTTTAGAGGATATCAAGTCTAAAATTTGTGTTTCTTATTTTCTTATTTCAGTTTCCATAAACCTATAGTTTCAATGATAAAAATTCCTGAACAACCTACATATATTGCAAGATAATAAAAATCTTTTAAGCAATATTTACTTCTCATTCATTCCATGAGGAAAAACTAGTTTGCTTATCGGTCACCACGCTCAAAAAATTCAAAAGAAAAAACTTGAATTAATATCAAAAAAAAAAAAAAGAATACTGCATAGATAATAATTAAATAATTATAATTGCATAAGTTGATAAAAAAAGGTGCAACACGTATTGTTTTTCTTGTTTAAAATATCTATAGCACTCACGTTTTACCAGATTCTAAGTACACTTCTGTTTTTTGATCTTCTGCAACATGAATATTATAATGCTGTTTCAAATAAGATACACGTTCCCGATCGCCATGCGCATACTGAAGATGAAGATCGATGCTACGTCGTTCCGTCATTCGCTTTCCGCAATGTTTACATTTGAAATAGTCGGGATCTTCATGAAAATTAATATGATCAATTAATAAACCGCGTTGATGTAATTTTTTACCACAACAAAGCACATAACCACTTGTTTGATGCGCTACATGGAAATGGCTTTTCAAATGTGTAAAGTTTTCTAATGGACTTTTACAAATACAACACGTAAATTTAAAATTTTTCTTTGCAATATATTCATCTAATTCCTCCGTTTTTTTATTAACGCCTTTTCTTTTATGTATTTTATGAGACTTTATTTTTGAGTGTTTATCTTCTTCATTCTCCCTCTTTAATTCTTCTAAGTCTAAACTATAAGCGTATGATGATATAGAGTTCTGAATGCTTTCTTCAAGTAAAGTCTCATCTGTAACCACTAATGCTTCAGAAACAATCTCAGATGGTAATATACATTCTTCAACTTTAATTTCATATTCCGTAAGTGGTTCAACTTGTGTGTCATCATTAGACATGATCTCTTCTTTTATTTCTAAGCTATCCGCTTCGAAAGTCACGCTTTTCAAAGAGTACACTGCGTCATTGTGCAGTTGCTTCACATTTTTATAAAATTTATGAAATGTTTCTACTAAGTTCCAACACTTTCGACAAATGATTTTCATTTCAAATTGAGACATCAAATCCAGCTGAATAAAATATATATAATTTTTTTAATAATGGTTAAATCCATACAAATTACGCACCTCCTCCTTAAAATGCAATTCAATCACTTCTCGTCCATTCAAATCGATACCTTCTTTGGAGTCCAAATCTATTTGATCCTTTGAACTTTCTAAGCAAAGTAAACAACATGTTTCATTAAACATTTTAATATCTTACTACAATAAATATTATCTCTAACAATGGCTATTAAATATAAATAAAACCAGGGATAAATATCTGAAAACAATCCAACAATCAGTTATATAGGGTTGCCAAACTGTTTCTAGTGTGACGTCTCAAAATTATGGCCCATTCACATTCAACTTTCCTCGCTTTGCTTGACAATTCATATTTTATACTACTTTATTATAATTTTAGTTCTGTGGATTTACTTTTCATGCTAATTTCCAATTAAAATAACGAACGTTGATTGGCAAAACATGTAAAAAACGAGAGTTGTCAACATTTCGCTTTAGTTTTGAAGGGCATATCACAATTTAAGAAATATCTATATGATTTTATCGATAAATAATTTGGGAAACTTTTATTTTTATCTTGAGCCGTTCGCAAATCTCTTTATTTGGAAATTTGTTTTATATTTTTTACATATACCAAATATTTGTGTCGAAAACAACGAAGAGTATTTTGTTTTTTACTTACTGTATAAAATTGTTTAATTACCTATTCTATTTGCTACATAGACCTATGTTTATACCCCTATTACAGTTTTCCATTCCACTCAGTTGAATTGAAATAAATAAGGTCTATTTTTGGTATACAGTCGGGCCTAAGTAATCTGAACGGACCTGGATTTTTATCCGGCCAAGAACTGTCAATTCGTCATCATTCCTTAAAACTACATAAGGTTGTTTTCTGCCGCAACAGCAAGAACTCTGTTGCAACATGTTGCGAAAGTATAAAATATCTCTTTAATCTCAGCCCCTCAAAGTAAGTGGTTTAGGTTAAATACCATTTAATTTATTTGCTGTGCTTTACCATTTTTTTTGAAAAAAGCAACAAATTAATGCTTCTAAATCACAACATTTAGATAAAATAATATTTAAATATTTTGACGCTTTCACATTTCCTGTAACAACCCACTAAAACATTTTTTCACCAAATTTGTTATCTTAGTCTGTTGCGACAGTTTGTTTTAAAGGTACCGCTAAGCTTTTCTTCAACGCGCACTGTTCGGCCCACTCCTTAGCGTGTTTCTTCCTTCGATGAGAATACATATTGGCATTAGATTTGAAGGTTTGTGGACAAAAACTACAGGTATATAAATCTTCTCCGGTATGGGTGGCCATATGCTCCTGCAATTTGAAATGTGGAAAATTATAAAATTAACTATTTGATCTATAAAATATATGCACAAACTTATATCTCACTTTAAAATCGGTAAGTCGTTTGAAGGCTTTGTCGCATAATTTGCATACATGTTTCCTTTGCAAGGAATGCATATACTTTATATGGTTACGATGAGCCTGCAGAGACGGTGACACTTTAGAACACATTGGGCAGACTTGTGGCGTTTGATACTCTTCTGTATGCATTGTCTTCATATGACGTGCTAAGCCATATTTCGTTTTGACCGCAGTATCACATAGATCACACTTTATTAGTTTTCGCGGCACGCTAGCATGGGTCAGACCCATGTGCTTACCTAATTCAACTTTGTCTGGGAAACTGAAAGAAATATAATTTTGAAAAAATTGCATATAAATATATGGGTATATTGACACCCCAAACAGGGTTTATTAAGTTAGCCACGAAGTTTGTAATACCCAGAAGAAAACGTTGGCGACCGTACAAAATACATATAAAAATTATCAGCATACGATCTGAGTCGATTTAGTCATATACGTCCATCTCTCCGTGTATACGCGAACAAGTCTCTCAGTTTTTCAGATATCGGTCTAAAAATATTCAATGTTCTTTTCTCTACAAGAAGCTGCTTATTTGGGTATCGGATCACTTTGGCATATAGCTGTAATACAAACAGAACGATCAAAATCATGTCCTTGTCCCTACTTTTTTATTTAGTTCTCTTTAAATTGTGTTTTTATTTCTGAAGGGTATTATAGCTTCGAAGCAAACGAATTAACGTTTTTTTTTTCTTTTTTCAAACATCCATAGCACTTACATTTTACCACATTCTAAGCACGGTACTTTTTTTTGATCTTCTGTAACGTGAATATTATGATGCTGTTTCAAACAAGATGCACGGAAAAATCCCTTGGAACAAATTGAACAACGATGTACACGTTCCCGATTGCCATGCACATACTGAAGATGAAGATCGATGCAACGTCGTTCCGTCATTCGCTTTCCGCAATGTTTACATTTGAAATAGTCGGGATCTTCATGAAAATTAATATGATCAATTAATAAACCACGCTGACGTAATTTTTTACCACAACATAGCACATAACCACTTGTTTGATGCGCTACATGGAAATGGCTTTTCAAATGTGTAAAGTTTTCTAATGGATTTTTACAAATACAACACGTAAATTTAAAATTTTTCCTTGCAATATATTCATCTAATTCCGCAGTTTTTTTATTAACTCTTTTTCTTTTATTTATTTTATGAGACTTTCTTTTTGAGTGTTTATCTTCTTCGATCTCACTATCTAATTCTTCTGAGTCTGAACTATACTCGTATGGTGATATAGAATTCTCCATACATTCTTCGAGTAATGTCTCATCTGTAACCTCTAATGCTTCAGAAACAATCTCAGATGGATTACATATATGGTTGGGAGTAGTTGAGGCGGGTAATATAAATTCCTCAACTTTAATTTCATATTCCGTAAGTCGTTCAACTTGTGTGTCGTCATTAGATATGATTTCTTCTTTTATTTCTAAGCTATCCGTTTCGAAAGTCACGCTTTTCAAAGCGTACGTTGCTTTCTTGTGCACTTGCTTCACATTTTCATAAAATATATGAAATGTTTCTACTAAGTTCCAACACTTTCGACAAATGATTTTCATTTCAAATTGAGACATCATATCCAGCTGAATAAAATAATTAAATTTATATAAAAATGGGTAAATCCATACAAATTACGAACCTCCTCCTTAAAATGCAATTCAATTACTTCTCGTCCATGCAAATCAATACCTTCTTTGGAGTCCAAATCTATTTGATCCTTTGAACTTTCTAAGCATAGTAAACAACATGTCTCATTAAACATTTTAATATCTTACTTCAATAAATATTATCTCTAACAATGGCTATTAAATAAAACAACCAGGGATAAATCTCTGAAAACAATCCAGCAATCAGTTATATAGGGTTGCCAACCTGTTTCTTGTCTCAATATTATGGCCCATTCACATACAACTTTTCTCGCTTTCCTTGACAATTCATATTTTGTCAATGAAAACGAGCCCAGGAAAAGAGCTACTTAACACTGGCACAGAGTTGAAAACCGTAATACTACAAAAAAGTTGAAGTTTGAAAACATTTCTACCGAAAATTTTTTAGCGGTTGAATTCAAATCGATTGTACGAAAATTCAATCAAAATGGTATATTCTATGTGTACACGTATTCAATAAATTGGATTGTATTTTACTTATTGCCTATTGATCAAGCCAAGAACTGTACGATATACATACATATGTATGCTAATCTCATTGTATGATGGATACGAAAAATGAATCGGCGACAGATACGCACTCGAAAAATTCATAGTTAGATGTTGATAAAATAAAAAGCAATTATAAAGTAATACCTTTGTGTTTTTGTACTTAGTTGAAGAAGTACACCAATTATTTAATCAATTTGGAATTAAAATGTCTAACATTAATATGACTGGTCAATATTACTGACTAAGCCATAAATAAATTATGTACATATATATTAAATAGCCGACTATATTTTGAAAAAAAAAAAACTTTAAGTGCTCCTTAAACAAAAACAAATATAGAAACCTTATTATATGCATATGTGTGTTGCAACAAATACATATTCGTAGCAACGTTGCAACCTCTATTTTCACTTTCCATTCGTACATTGTAAGCGTTGTAAAACAAGTTCGTGCTTCTTTTGCCAGTTCATGAGAAAACACTCCAACGCCCTAAATGAGCGTTCTTCAGATTTTAGTTGTTTCAAGGCTGCATCGCGCTGATCGGATAGTATACTATTATCAACACGTATTTGTGTCAATCTGTCCTTGGTAAAGTTATGTCGCACTAAAAAGCCGGCGTCACCGTTTGTTGCTCTGGCATATGGCTGGTATCTTGGTTGACTACGTAGCTGTGTCGGCAAAGCTGAGTGTTCCGCGGATTTTTCCCTAAAAGCAGCAGGCTTTTGTATGATTTTGGTGACTTGGAATTCCGAAATAGGCAACTCTTTGTTCAACAAATCTAATGGTATTTTTGCAAAAAGCCGCTCTATTATCTATGAATTTAAGGTATATAACCTTATTATCTTGTTAAAGCTATAAGTTATTGTCGTCTACATACCAGTTGTTGATGCGTAAGCAGTTGATTTTTTTGGCGAGGCGCTAATAGGCAGTGTATTAGTGGGTATAGTCTCCAGTTACTTTGTTTATCTTTTTCTTCCATTTCCATACGACGACGTTCGGCACTATAAAATACGAACATGCAATGAAATTACTTCTGAATTATTAAAAAAAAAATAAATATATTATATTTATACTAACATGTATTTGTTTTTGAAATTGTTTATTTTACGCCGTACCTCCTGTGCGTTGACATAAAAACCATATTCGCGCATACCCTCTGATATGGTACGGAAAATGGGTATATTTGTCTTTAATGTCGTCACTTCATTACTGTGCAGTCGCCATAATTCTACCAAACGCATCTCCTCCCAACTGTTCCAGTATCGCGATCGAAGATGTTTTGGTACTATTTCAGTGTCCTCGCTGGCAGTTGCGGTTGATGTGTGTTGCAAGTCCACCGGTGGCTGGTTTTCGTCGATTATCTCCCGGTCGGGATTGCTCATCTTGTACTATAACCGTTTTATATATATTTGCTTGATATATATTGATAAAATTTTATTATTTTTGTTAAATACGCTCACAACACAACTAAATAAACACTGTCACTAAAATTGATTAGTGTAAGCATTGCCAACCTAAAATAACCAAACTACATTTCATATTTGTTCAGAGTACTCTGAAAACATTAAGAGAATTTTTGGAAATACAATATATTATTTGAGAGTATGCATTCACATATATAAACTTAAATAAATATTTTTATTATTCGTTAACTAAAACAGAAAACTTAAGAAAGTTGTGCTGTACTTTTTATAATTAAGGTAATCTTTATAAAAATCTTATAGACCAACAAGTCAAGACATTTGCAACATTTGTTTTGACAGAAAAATGTAATGTCCGCTTTTGTATGAGTACACATAAAATGTTTTCGACGCGAAGCCAAACAACAGTTGCCATTTATATTAGAGAGAAACACTAAAAGTAAAGCTTTCATTGTGGCATAGTTGTATGTGAATAGGGTTTAAGAAAGGGATGAAACGCAAACAAGAGTTTCAGTTAGCGATATTGGGTAATTAAACAGTTATATAGCTGATTAGTGGTGGGCTTGTAGCGAGAAATTTTAAGCTAACGGTAGGAATAAAAAAACACGATTTGAGTACGTGACTATTACGCCAGTGTTGGCATTTCTCCAAACTTAAGTAGAAAATTTTGTGATGTAAATAAATTATGAAATACATTTTTTCTTAAAAATGTTACATATGCGTTTAATAAATATTAGTATTGTTTAAACATTAATTAAATTTCTATGGCTATCTTCCTTTGAATTTCCTTACGATGCTAAAGTGCAGTTTTCTAATTCTGCCATTTTTGACATTTTCATAACGAATCATAAACGTCAAACTTTCGTTTGCTTCTCCCGCTGCGTCTTTACCGACAGTTGTGCAAAAAGCACAAAATTTTATACAGAAAATCTTGCACAAATTATAATTTGGCAAGAAAAACCTAAATTCTACCATTGAAAATCGGTTGTTGTACTCCAGCCGTTTCAGATGTTGTCTGAGGAAGAGGCTGCAATGGACTACGATGAGTTGACATTGAATCCATTGCTAGCAGAAATTGAGGCCGAAACTGACTTGGACTCGAAAAAAGAGAAACAACGCCGCTATTGGACGCCGAAGGAAGAGCAACGTTTCTTTGAGATTTGGGGACGTGACAATTGGCGCTTAACGCGTCACGGAAAGAATACGATTTTTTTTGCACAATGGGCTGTTGAACTGAAGGAGCGCTTCGATATTGAAGTGAAACCCGAGGAAATACAAGCGAAAGTAAATCAGACGCGCGCGAAATTTAGGTAAACGTTGGGGCGGTAGTATCAAGTTCCATTGATTAATGTTAATACGTATGTTAAACTTTTTACAGACAAGTTAAGAAGCAGATAGCTGCTGACAAAAATGCTGTACGTTGGAAAAAGTTTGCCATTATCGATAAAATTCTTAAGAATCAATATCGCCCTAAAGATGCCGAACCAGTACCGAAAGAGGCATTGGAGAATAATCGTGACATCGATTTAAGCGAAGTACCATCGCCGCCATCGCCACCACGTTCAGGACGACAGTCTTCACCCAATAGTATTACATCGAGTTCCAACACGCAAGAAGCTACTAATAATGCTACGACTACGGATAATAACAACACTTCGGTATCATTAGATTTGCCGGCTAGCACTGTAGACATAGACATCAAGGTATTTAGAGAGTATTGTAGGTGTCGATGTAAACAAATCTTTACACATATTTTCACTTCTATGCAGAGTGAATTTCTTACTGACTCCAGCATCACTACTTCGCTGTTTAATGCGAGCACTGAGCTCTTCAGCGATCCAATCGACGAGGTAAAAGCCGAATACTCTAGCGATTTTCACAGTTTTGGCAACTATCCGCAGCCAAATCATTTCGAAACACAACCACCAACTCAAGATGATGACGATGAGGAGCCACAGCTACACACTTTACAAACACCACAGCAATTGTTGGAAGAACAAAAGCAGAAACAACAACAACTACAGCAACAGCAGCAACAATACCAGCAGTATCCAACAGCATCATCAACAGCGCCACCGCCTGACACCACAACAGCTACCAATACGCAACAACATTCTGAGCAACTACTGCAAACTGGCTATGATCATAGTAACACATACGCCAATCAAAATCATTATGCGGCAACATCTACACCAGCACCAACGACAGCTACTAATAATCAATACGCCGGTAGTAATAATAAAATTAATAATAATAGTGCTAGTGGTACTGCAGCACCTATGCAACCACCAACGTCGGGTCTGGGTCGCGGTGCACCTGGTCAACCGCGCCGACGTCGCACATCACACGCCAATAACGTGCTGGTGGCTGCACAGGCTGGCGCCGAATCCTTAGAATCTATGTACCTAAATGAGGTGCGTAAAAAGAATATTTTACTTGCGGAGCAGTTGGAAATCGCACGCAAGCGTATGCAATTAGAGGAGCGTAAAGTGAATCTGTTGGAACGTTTCTTTCCACAATGTTTGGAAATGCAGGAGCAAATACTTGGAAAACTTAATAGCAATACTTAAAGCGGTGTGAACGTGACTTTGTAAGGTATTATGTGAAGTGGAAATGCATGTGGAAGTTTTTCAAATAAGTTAAAGAATAAGTGGAAATTGCAGCAAATAATAGACATGTGTTTAGTTCAAGTAATTCGACCAGAAATTTATCATAATTTCGCATAAAATCATGGGAAAATTAAATTTGAAACAGCGCTACGTCGAAACGGTAAATGTGAGTGTAGTAAAAAGTGAGCATCCCGCATTTTGCTAAATTAATTAAAAAAATAATTATATCTAAGATGCTAATTTTAATTTGGCCATGCAAAGTACTGTTTAATTTGATATTGTAGTCCTCTCTCTTTTCTTTTCAACAAGTCTTGTGAAGTGCAAAAATTGTAAATTTCGCGTTTCGGTACCAGTAATTCTTAGTTTTTTTTCTAAAAAAATATATACATATATTATACAAAGTATTTACAACAAAGCTATGTTTGTGTTAGTTTGTAATAACAATTACGTATATTAAAGTAACATTGGCCTACGATATAGAAATTTTTAAGAGGATTTTAAAATATTTTATCATATACAACATTTCATCAAATACGGAAACTCATTTGGAAACGAAGCTAAAAAAGAAAACTTAAAGGAAAATAATGTACGGGCAAGCTGGGGTCTGGGTCAACAAGAGAAGAGATGGTTGATTTTTTTAAGGGCTTATCTCGATTTCGACTACGAGTGCTATGGAATAAAGTTATCTAGCAAAGTTGTAGGTAATGAAAAGATCTATAACTTTTGTATTAACACCTTTTTCACATTTTTGTATTAACACTTTAACCTCAAAGTTTATTTGAAAAATTCAATTAATAATTTTTTTTTATTTTATTAAAAAATTTTTTTTTTTTAAATAGTTTTTTAAATTTTTATTTATATCTAATTTTATTTTTTAATTTTTTTCTTAAAATTTTTTTTTATATTTAATTTAATTTTTTAATTTTTTTTTCAATTTTTTTTTTTATCCCTTACAAAAAAAAATTCTTTCACAAAATTTGGTGTAAACTAATACTTTTATGTCCAAAGCATGATGTATTTTTTATTTATTATTTAAAATATTTTTTATTCCATCTTATATTGACTTAATATTTCAATCGAAAATTCGCTCGTCAAAATATCTGCTTTTTCCATAGGACTCGTAGGAGCGAGAAATTTCAACACTACCTTCCCTTCTTCTTACCAACCTCACATCGCCCGCAAAACTGTTTTCCCTCTAACTTTTGTTATTTCGTCTTTCTTTTCCAAGCGGTTTCATCTATTAATATTTCAGAAAAACAGTCAACAGTGTGCTATTCAAGAAAGAATATGACACAATTTTTTTGTATTTTTTTTAGTTACTCGTTACAATTTAAAAAAAAAACAATTTTTACCGAAGAGATAAAAAGCGAAAGTATGGAAAGTTAATTAACTATTTAATTAATTGCCACTAAGCATAGATCAAAAGATTGTAAAATAATTCATATTAAAAAATCCTCCAACATCATGCTTAGTAATAGAAATACATAAACAAAACTATATAGCTACATACATATATGACTACTAGTGAAAAGTTGCAAGCTCAAATGCGAACAAAATCGTAGAGTTGTTTACCGAGCAAAGAGAGCGGCATGGAACTGCATATGTACTAGAAGAGAATGAAAAATTGATTCATGCACTGTTTGTCAATTTGTATGGAAATTGTGCGTAATAGATAGTTGATAAGTCCAGTTAATAAACATGATTTCTCATTTGTAAACCACGAAAATAAAACAAAACAAATTAAGAAATGAAATAAAGTTACATGATTTTTAATGGTACAACTAAGTCTATATTTATTTTATAAAAAAAATTTTAGGATTTATTTGTCTTTTCATTAAAGTTTTCCGTACAATGAAGAAGCTGATGGAGAATAAAGTCTGTAGTATACATTTAGGCGATTATTTCAGTAATATCAAATTGAAGATTACAACTTTTTCTAGATGTTGGGATTACATTTATTGCGTCTTTTCTGAAGAAAGCGTCTTACCACTTTGCAATAATCAGTCAATATTGTTGTGCCCTGAATAGGGTATATAAAATTTGCCATGCAGCCTCAGAAGGAAATGTCGGAGAATCTGTAATATATACTTGTATATATATATAAATGACCATCATGACAAGCTGAGTCGATGCAGCAATTTTCGCCAGCCTGTCCCTCTGTATATACGCGAACTAGTCCCTCAGGTTTTGCAATATCGATCTGTACACGTTCTTTTCCCCCCAAGAAACTGCTCATTTGGCGCCACCGTCGTTATAGAACCACTATAGCATAGCATATAGTTGCTATACAAACTGACTGATCAAAGTCAAGAGAAAGATCGGCTTATGCTAGAGATGCACCTGGGAAAGGGTTTTATAGCCTCGGTGCAGTCGAAGTTAATGTTTCTGCTTGTCTTGTAGATCTTTTGGCGTGTTAGTTTGATTGACCATATTCTGCGCTTATGTGCACAAGTAGGCTAAATACCTCTATAGAGTTGTAGACCATCCGAGCTTCGAACGAACTCAAGTCAGCCTAAGTAATTTAGAGGAATGCTGCCGGGTTGTCAGACCTCAGCCAGATAAAAATTCGGAAGTCTTCCTCTTTATCAGTGGCTAAAGTCAATAAGTATTCTGTAGATTCTGTTTCCTATTACTTATAGATTCAAACGGGGTTAGATCATGGAAATAACAGCGCTTAGCCAAATGAAATCTTGGTCAAAGCCGAATACGTGAAACCAGCTGTTGCAGGAGATGAGATTCTTGCGACTTGTGCTTGTCTACTCACTTTTTAAGTAGGCCAGGCATAGATACTATACCATGTTCAAAATGGTTCCCTGTTTGAATGTTAAGAGTGATCTCTCTAGGCCTTAATTGAAGACATTTTGATCAGAAGAATTTACCTTCTTCTTTTGTATTGGCTTCCGGCTTTTGTGGTATAATGGTGGTACCATCTAATGTTCACACTCGTTTGAAGGATGTGAAGTTTGGAATCCGCTGTAAGCAACAACCTATCCTTACCTTAGTCAATACTCAGTCGCTTAACGATCCATGAAGTGCTATGTGTCGGGAAAGAAACTCCAGAATCATGCCACTATTTAGAAAATAGCTAATCATATGTTGTTTTTGTTCCATTCAAAATCATTTTTCACCCATAAGCAATGCGAAGCGATTAGAGTTGTCAGGAAAAATAGAAGAGGTTACACATTCCACTCAAAGCACATTGCAGTTTGATACAAAACAAAGAAGACTCTACGCTTCTCATATAAAGTAAAGTCATAAATAATTGGTACACAGACTCCAACGTATTTACACTCGTATTTATGAAGAAACGCGGCATTGGAGTGATGGGCATAAGCAATGTCAGCGTACTGTTTTTAACAAGCGTTCAAATCAGAAAGACAAGCAATTGTCTACAAGATAAGCGTGTATATGATTGAGCCAAGCGCTCCATATGTCTACTCAAATAGTTTCACTCTATTGTTAGCGCTATCTTTAGCCGCTGTGATATGGGAGAGCTACAATTTCAAATTATTTGATGATACCAATAAAGTGTCAAAGTGTCATGCTGTTTGAAATCTGTGAGCATATAGCATCATTATAATAGGATTATAATAGAGCATAAAATGTTAAGCTTGATTGGAAAATAGCACAAATAAATGAAATGAAAATAAGCGTTGACATTTGGAGATCAAGTTCAATGATCGAAGCAATGATACCGACAACGTGTAGTGAAATACCTCCAAAATTAGCCCTGGACTTCTAAATAATCGGACATCTGGCTAGCAGACTTTTTGGCTAATTATACACACATTTACTAGATATTTTTGCTCTTGCAAATAACTCCGTAAATGTTTTGAGCTTACTCTAATGACCGTATGATGTTGTCATGATATTTATGATTGCCGTTTTGTGACAACGATTCACTGGAATACACCAGAGACCAAGAAACTGTCAAAACAATTGATTTTAGGCGGCGAACCTGCTCCAAAGTTGATTGTTTTGAGAATTACTTTTACAGATTTTAAAGAAAATTTTAAATAAAATAGAAATAAAGTCACAAAAAGTGTTAAAAACAGTCTCAATACTCGAAAACTCAATTCGCTTTTTTTAAATATATCTCTATAGGTGAATTCAATCACTTATATCACTAAGGAAGCATTGATCAGAGCATCTAAATAACAGTTCGTCATACAAAATACTTAAGAAAACAATTAGCTTCTTATATTGAACAAAAACATCAATTCCAATAACAATAATAATACATCCAGTAGACATCTGCATACTAATAAGACGAGGCTTATGAAGTCTGACAGTGTTAAAGTAAACAAAGTAAGTAAGCTTGATTTCAAGCTCATTATGTCAAGTTTGGCATATAAAAAAGTTAAGCAGCTCTGAAATAATTGATACTACTTATTTTTATACACTTTAGTGTTAAATATTCTATATTTTTTTCACTAAGTTTGTAATGGTATATAAAGCAATGTGTAAGTATTACTTCATTATATTTTAAGTACTTAACATATTACGTTTTTACTATTTTCAAGTACTGTCAGACAAAAATTAATTACGTCATTATCAAAAACAAATATTTGAAAAATACTTCAAGAAAATACTTATATCCGACTATTTTATATAAGAAGTTGTAAATAATCATTAAGCAAAGTTATTAATGAATTTATTCAATCGATTAGAAAAATTAAGCGCGAGGCTTCACTTCAATATAAAGCAAAAGATCTGCTTAAGCGGTTATAAACACTTGTGAATTTCAAAAAATCTACATTTTTTGCTTACATGTCGAATGTTTTGTACATTTGAGAATATTTTAATTTTTTATAAATTTGAAGTTGATTGGCAGCAAATACTTTCGAAGATATTAGCGTATGTGTAAGTTTTCAAGATTATTAGTGTAATCGGCGCTCAAAACTTTAAGAAAATTTAGCTTTGTATTGAAGTTAAGTGAGAATATCTTAGTAATATAATTTTTTACTTACATATATGACCTCCTCATACCACTGTCGATTGATAAGGTTCAATGAATTTAATGGATAATAGAAAGCGTTGAAAGAAATAAAAGAGCGACAGCTGGCAATTGTTTATTAGGCATGGCAGTGACCTTCGTTTGCGTCTGTTCGGAGTATTACCTATGCAAATAGTATGTCTGTCCATATAAAAGACAATAAATAGAGTATGAAATTAAACACCACATAAATTTCATGTAGAAATGCGATTATCGCGCGTTAGTTCAGTAAGCAAAAGCTATGGCAAATATTTTGATTGAAATCGAAAGATCGAATATTTGAAAACTAACATACAAGTATTGAGCGGCTAGTATTTGACTCTACTGAAAAGACCAGCTTAAAGCTTAACTTTAAACATCTTTAGCAATATTTTTTCAAAAAAGTAAGCTTGCGAGGCGAGTATATTCAATTGAGTTAGTTAGGTGCGACTATCAAATAACATTTTAGGTTGCATTTAAGCTCTTCGGCCAGCTGTTCAGAATCAGCGCTTATCTACATAGCTATCTAACCGAAGTGTTGGCGATGAAGATCTGTCAGTTTCTAAAAAACCGAGATCATTTTGATATAAGTCTCTCGTAAATTTCGATTCGCGAAAGGCCAATTAAATTAAACGCCCTGAAGAGCTTATTTTAAAGTAAGCTCGCAAATCTTTTCGGCTTACTGGGTATACATGGTATAAACTTCGCAAGCAGCGTTTGACGTGAAGTATCGACAAAATCATGAGTGTGGGAACTTTTTTTTTTATTATTGAAAGAAGAAACTGTTTAGAATGTGTTGACGTGTCTAGTAAATAGTGAAGCACTTATGTATTTTTTAAAAGTTATCTTCATTTGAAATCATATTCCGCTCAGTGTTCAAACAAAATTTATTTTTAGTCTGACATGCGATGGCTCTTGACTTTATTGACTTGCATCAGTTTACGCGTGTGGAAAGCGATTGACTAAAAAATGGTTTTTCAGCTCAGTTCACAGATATGATGAAGAGTTTTCTTTGTATGAAGTTTGTTTGTTAATTTAAGGCACTCAGAGGTAGTGAAATATTTAGTTTTGTTGCATACTATTTGAGTTAATTAGTATAATACAAGTTATAGTTGAAATCCTAATAGTTTCTTGAATAATTTGAAAGTAAACTTAAAAGTCTGTTAAAGTCTTTGGTGAGTTGGGTGACCATACTTTCTATTGGGAGTAGATCTAATGATCTATATTGGTTGAGAGCAACAGTTTCTCTAATCAGTCGCAACTCTCACAGCGGTCTTTTAATTTATAATACTTACGAATAATGAATTCGGATCACAATTTCGAACTAAAACTCGAAGAACATCTCGTGGTCTTGGTACAAAAGCACAAGAAAATATTCTGGCGGAAATAATCAATTTTCCTTTTATTCGGGCCACAAATAGTTGTGCATGAGTCATGGACTTTTAGGATGGCGTTAAAATCCCCATGTAATGCAAATCGTATGAACAGACAGGGAACGTTAGTGAGAGTAATGAAGTTTTGCAAGTGAGCGCGACCTTTAAAAAATGTTGGCTTAAGCGATGAGCGAGATTCAGATAACAAGTACTCCGCTGTTTTGAAGTAATACGAGTAGATCTGGCGATGATCGTGACAATCGCTTATCGGCTATGTTAGCACTGACATTTGAGTGCGTTGAACAGCCGTAGAGCGCAAGCTGGCCGATCATGGCTTATCATTTCAGTGTGCCGTGGCAACCTGTTGGAGCTCAGTTGAACGCTGGCAGTCCAGTGCAGCGGTTGTGTGGTGCGCGTAAACTTCTACGAA